CATAATCTCTGCATATGCTCAAGAAATGTTCCTGAGCAACAAGATCACACATTCCTTCAAAGCTTGTAACACCTTTTCCATCAAATCTTTCATCTGGTTCACATATACCACATTACTCATCCCTGCACTCCTCTTAAGGCTTTGAAATGTTACTCTATATGTTTCAGGTGTAATCTGAAACTATTAAAACTATTTCCTTTAATTTACCATAATCTGAAGCATCTCTAATTGGCATTCGTATTATCGACTATATCCAGACTCTCCAGGACCCCTTTGTAACCAACGTGGGCATCTTTTGGTCCTCAGGAATCTCATGAAGTACACACAACCTCTCAAAAAGTGATAAAATATTCAGCAATATCCCCTGTCTCACTGTATGCAGGACACAACTGTTCCTATTTGTCGATTTTTAGAGAGGTTGGACTCCCTAGTGTGTGGGGACTCTGGTTTGCTTCTCTATCAAGTGCAGCTGGTGATTTCTCTCTTTTTCCTTCTCCTCCAGGGCTAGTTTCTGGCCTTGATTTCTTTGGCTTGCAGTTCCATGGCCTTTCAGTGTGCAGCTTCTTGCCTGGCATTCTCTGCTTCCATTTCTTTTATCTGTAATGATTTTAATTCTAAAAGTCTTGTGTTCTTTTTCTCTCTCCTGCCTGCAATGTGCACAGCTCCAATTTCTTACTAGTTTCACTTTCACTCATTTTCCTGTTTTTCTGTCCCTAATGTCTCTTGCCCGAAATAAGCAAACAGAAAATAAACTGGTCAACTCTTTGATCTCTAGCCACCACACTTAAATATGACTTAAAATCATCACTAGTGTATGAAGTGCAAACCTCACTCAGAACAACAAGCTGTGCATTTAATCCTGTACAACCGTGCCACAGTGACTGGTTCCCCCCGGGGTGCCTCCTGGAACTGGGATACCACTGAGCCGTCTGACCCACCAGCCTGGGCTTCCTTTCACACTGTACTGCTGTGACAAGCTTCAATGCCCTCCAGCCTGCACTTTCACCAGCATTCACACATGCAGCTGCAGTTACCCGCAGGCTCTCTAACCACCAGCTTCCCAGCCTAGGACCCCAGAGCAGTACCGTCCAGCCCTGGTCAAATCTGGCCAGTATATGGGTTTAATACCCAGTCTGCCTCTCTCTCAATGTGAAGAGGACAATGCACACTTGTGGTAACCAAGCAGAGATTTTCCCCAAGCACTCCAGTCAAAGCTCACTGGTTTCGATTAAAACAAAAACAAGTTTATTAACTACAAAAGATAGATTAAGTGATTATAAGTGATAGCAAACAGATCAAAGCAGACTACCTAGCAATTGCAAATAAACAAAAACCACAAACTAAGCTTAATATACTAAATAGATTGGATATGAATGAGCAGATTCTCACCCTGAGAAATGACACAAGCAGGTTGCAGATTCTTAAGGGGCAAGCTGCACTTGCTTTACAACTTGGAATCTCCAGGTCTTTCATAAACAAGCTAGAAATCCCTTTAGCCTGGGTCCAGCACTTCCCTAAGTTCAGTCTTATTCCTCAGTTGTTTCCAGGAATCTTCTTGGGTGGGGAATGAAGAATCCCAGATGTCACTCTCTGCCTTATATAGCTTTAGCATATGGTAGAAACCCTTTGTTTCAAAGGTTGGTTCCCCAACCAGTCTGTGGAAAAATAGACATCCCAAGATGGAGTCCAGAATCATGTGGCCTGGTCACATGTCCTTGTAGAGTCATATCAGCCATTACTTACAGCATTCTCAGGTAGGCTCACCAGGTGGGAGATAAGCTTCTCCTAAGGCCTACTGTTTTCCCTAATGGCTCATTGCCCTGAATAGGTCCTTCCCAACCAGCTATCTAGACTGAAAACATCTTGTCAAGTGGGTGTTACCCAGGTGTAATTACATTTGAAGTACAGATACATAGTCAGTATTTATAACTTCAGATACAAAAATGATGCATGCATACAAATAAATCATTCAGCAAATCAACTTTTTCAATGACAGCTTACATGACTCATCGTGCACGCAATGCATCATAATTATGCCATCATCATATCATATCATCACTGTGAAGAATATGGGGTGCAGTATCACAGTAGGTTTCTGAGCTACAGGGACAGATGTTGGTGATTTGTATTTACAGTGCACTTGCCAATATAGACAATTTCACAAAACATTCCTGGAGAAGGAAAATCATGCTCCAGATTTAAGAATGGTTTCATGGTATTGTAAAATTTGTCCACCAAAACTGCTGTAACATCTTCATAAGTTCCTGAAGGCACTGACCTTAAAAAAAAAGAAAAAAAAAAAGTAACAGAATGTGCTACACAGGGTACAAAAACAAATTTCAGTTCCTTTTGAGCATCTATAAAGCTCCTACATATAGTTTAAAATGTAAATGTGCCCTGCTCATACCATCTATCTTAGGCTAAAATACTGGTAGAACTACACTGGTATACCTGGTTAGTACAGAGCAACTGCGCTGCCCATTTCAGGATTGGAGTATAAACCGAATGGTACAGTAACCCAAGGAAAAAGAAATAAATGCCATAATAGTCACTAGGTAGGAGGGAGCAGAGACATGCCATATGTACGTGTTGCAAGGGCTCACATGTGCCCTTACCTGAGGGTACCAAGGACACACTGTGGAACTTTCTGAACAACGACAGTGTATTGTCACATCACTGTGAATTTCTGCACCCTTGAACTACAAACTAGGACAAATATATATAAATATAACTTACATTTCTAAAGCACCTTTCATTGTGCAGGATCCCAAAAGGACCAGTCCCTGGAAAAATCATGGAGCAGGTCCTCAATCAGTTCTGAAGCACTCAGAGGAGAGGAGAGGAAAGTGATCAGGAACAGTCAGCATGGATTCACCAAGGGCAAGTCATGCCTGATTAACCTAATTGCCTTTTAGGGTGAGATAACTGGCTCTGTGGATGAGGGGAAGCAGTGGACGTGTTATTCCTTGACTTTAGCAAAGCTTTTGATATGGTCTCCCACAGTATTCTTGCCAGCAAGTTGAAGAAGCATGGGCTGGATGAATGGACTATAAAGTAGCTAGAAAGCTGGCTAGATCATCAGGCTCAACGGGTAGTGATCAATGGCTCCGTGTCTAGTTGGCAGCTGGTATCAAGTGAAGTGTCCCAAGGGTCGGTTTTGTTCAATATCTTCATTAATGAGCTGGAGGATGGCACGGATTGCACCCTCAGCAAGTTTGCAGATGACACTAAACTGGGAGGAGTGGTAGATACGCTGGAGGGTAGGGATAGGATACAGAGGGACCCAGACAAATTAGAGGATTTAGCCAAAAGAAATCGCATGAGGTTCAACAAGGACAAGTGGAGAGTCCTGCACTTAGGACGAAAGAATCCCATGCAATGCTACAGACTAGGAACCGAGCGGCTAGTGGACGGAGAAGCTGGATATGAGTCAACAGTGTGCCCTTGTTGCCAAGAAGGCTAACGGCATTTTGGGCTGTATAAGTAGGAGCATTGCCAGAAGATCGAGGGACGTGATCATTCCCCTCTATTCGGCATTGGTGAGGCCTCATCTGGAGTACTGTGTCCAGTTTTGGGCCCCACAATACAAGAAGCATGTGGAAAAACTGGAAAGAGTCCAGCGGAGGGCAACACAAATTATTAGGGGGCTGGAGCACATGACTTATGAGGAGAGGCTGAGGGAACTGGGATTATTTAGTCTGCAGAAGAGAAGAATGAGGGGGGATCTGATAGCTGCTTTCAACTACTGAAAGGGGGTTCCAAAGAGTCTGGATCTAGACTGTTCACAGTGATACCAGATGACACAACAAGGAGTAATGGTCTCAAGTTGCAGTGGGGAGGTTTAGGTTGGATATTAGGAAAAACTTTTTCCC